CTGGAAACAGAATATCTCTCGATTGATAAGTGATAGTACGCATATTGATGTACCATGGGGTAATGATGAGGTACAGAGGAGACTGGACGTCTTCTTATCGGGTACCGTCTTGAGGCATCATAGCAAACGTCTCCGAGCATGCGTCGCTTCGCCTCCGGCAACGTAGCTAAAGACGGTTGTATGCCGCAGCGGTCAAGAGGTCGATTTTCGTGGAGATGCGCCAGTTTCCACGACGGTCATCCACGCGAACCCTGAACTCAGTAGCGTATTGAGTTTACGGGCAAACATCTGCTGTTTTTAGGGTTCCAAAATATCATTATGCGTTTCCACTCCATTCTACAGCACAATATGACTAGAGCCAATAAACGAGCATGGCATGAAGAAATGAAACCAATTGCAAAAATTAAGTCATTATGAGCACAGCGATTATCTGACCACAACGACAAGAAGCCCTTCGAAATTGGTACAAGTTTTCTGGAAGTCGGAGTGTGTAGTCAGAGTCAGACAGCAGAACTCTTCAGTTCATACGCGGGAAAAGATGTTGAATTCGGCCTTCAGTGAATTTCTGCCAAGTAACGGAGGCCAGAACGAGAGGGATAGGCAAGGAATTGTTTACATGGAGCTGATTCACGTGCACAGGAGAGGCATGTACGCCAGACGAGGTGTACGGACATATCTGGAAACCTTATGCGCAGGAGGAGGTCGGACAACAAAGGGCATGGAGAGCGTTTGGGACCGTGCTTAAGCCGCATGTAGGTCGCCCAAAACAAACTTTCACGTTATTCTGGATGGATGGATGAATGGATGGCTGGCTGGCCGGATGGATGGATGGATGGGAAGACGAATAGAAACCTCGTCTATCACAACATGGATTAGATATTGAAAATGAGCGCCAGAAATAGACCATGCTTGCTCCCAGAACTGAAGAAATTCGGTTCCTATGCCAAGTGGAAAATGGATAAAACTCGGCTTGCCCAACCAAGCGTATTGCAGGTTTTTGCAATCCTCTTCGCAGTTGCCTGAGCGAATTGACGCTTTAACTGCGCTGGCCGCAGAGCCGCTGTCTTCCATCCGAGCTGCTTTGACGCTCTTGGGGCGGAGTGTCTTTCTCATATGGAAATGACTATGAAAGTCTGCTGATGCCAAGCAGAAATGTGTCATGCAAAAGAAGTGGACTTTCAGCCGCTTCGGTTAGGCCTAATCGGATGAAGAGTAAAAGTCAAATGCATGTTATGCACGGAAGTGAAAAGTAGTGCGGACACTCGATCGGTTCTTAACCTCACCTCTAACGGGATTCGATCCATGGACGTTAGATCCCGCGGGCGAACACATTGCCACATTGCCCCCCTTCACGAGTGAAGTTAGGGCTCACAAGACCACTCGACAACAATCACTTGATCACCAACATATGTACGCCTTAATCAAACTTTAAGTAAGAAATCAGAAACAAACTCACATTCTCCGGCGGGAAGATATACATGCAGTAAATACGGTAACAGCAACGGTACCAATGTTCTGTTATAAGCTCATTGTCTCGACAATACGAGCAAAGATCACTTTAGTTCTAGGCTGAAGCAGCATACGCGCAAGTGCAGACTAAGTCACCAGAAACGAGATTTGTCCACCCTTTCCCATACTCATATGAGGGGACTTTAGTTTCCAGTGAATTTCACATATCCCTGCTTCTTAAAAGGTATCCTCATCCAGGGGAACTGATGTTTTGCCTCGAATAGGACTTATCAAGAATCTAGCGGGACTCGAACCATAACAGTGCTGTGTATAAACTGTACACGTTAAGCACTACTCTATAAGGCTATGTGAAATTCTATGTAAACCTCTGGCCTACACATACCTTTCTAGGGTGATTCAACTACCAGTTCTTTACTATCTTAAACGAAAAAAGGTGATCATGTTTCAACTATCTGATTTACTGATAACATAGAAACCCTACTAGCAAACAAAAACCAAGTAATTTAATCGATTTCCATAGCAACTATAACTTTGCTACATCGACAACCCTAATAAAAAAAGAGATATGGGAAATTGCCTGGCCCTCCTTGAAATTCACATCTGCCCTATGACCCAAGGGTACTCGTGTCAATGTGGCGTAATGGTTAATTTGTCGAGATTATACGCTTCGCTGTCATGGTTCGAGTCCCGCTGAGGGTGTCGATAAGACTTAGGCAATGTTTAAACGGCAGTCTACTTCCGCATGTATGTAAATACTTTTTGGGAAAGTAAGACCATGTGAAATGCAATGGAAGCATAAGCTTGAATCATGTGAATGTGGGAAAATTTCAATATCAATTCTGCATCACCTTAAACAAAATCGGGTGAAAACATCTCATATACCCGATTGACTGGTGGTCTCGAAAATTAATTATATTGAAATTGTGTAGCATCTTTGATTACCGTGGCAAACACATGATTGTTTACTCTATACTCGAATGTCGAGTCTTCCCTGTGCTTCACTAGCACCTATGGCCATGTAATTGAGTGGCTACTTCACAACGATTTCACAACCCGGTTTCGGATGCCGCCTGGACGGCTGCAGTCCAGCCTAAGTTGGATTAACTTTTGGTAGGTAAGGCTAAGCGAAATCCAGCGTTATCATAAGGAAGGCTCAATTATCAGTTAATAAATCTCTTTATACGAACTAGACGGACTAAGTCATTACGAAAATGTAAATCTGGATTCATGGAAATAAAGTGAGAAGATTTGGTTTTGCATTAAATTCATTCAGGTTGGCCAACTATTTCAACCTCTACACGTCGGTTCACCAGTACCCCTCAGCGGAACTCGAACCCAGGTTGCATGATCAAATCACCGCTTGGCATCAAAGATCTGACGAATGCAACCATACTTTCATGCTTTTATTTCCTCTCGGTCCCATCGGCGCCTTCTACAGGAATTGAGCCGATATGATGACACGTTTGCTTCTGAAGCCCCATAATAGCTCGAATCCCGCTTGAGGTGCTGCTAGAATGATGAGGCAAAATTGAAATTACAGTCATGACTGGAGGTAAGGATGACCTTTTCCGCATGCTTTACGAAGTGAAGCTGAATTGCAAAAGTGGGCATAGAAACGTATTTACTTACCGTAGCCTCGTAGTATTCTGCAGCATGGTGACAATGCTCAGATGCATAATAGACTCGTCTAACAGATGAATTATTAATCGCGTTTTATTTCAACATATTTTTCAGTTTCATCCGCCTTCCCGTATTTGTATTTCCTTTTTGAGCTGCGTTCGCCCTATTTCGTTAAAGCTGATAGAGGACTGGTAGTTGAAT